CTGCAGCTTTGGGAGATTAAAAGCAGCCAACACCTATCAGAGGTTTTGCTTTTTAATAAGAAAAATGGAAACAAGATTTCTCATTCCCATCCTTTGTCGGCTCATACACGTTTTCATAACTTGACCTCTTGCAATCAAATGTGGAAACCATCTCTGTGGGAAAAGCAGTTGACTTCCAGCTCTTCTTTATAGGTGGGTTGGCCCATTCATGGAAGCTCTTTTAATGGTCCAAACAACGACCATGAAAATCAGACATCTTTGTGGAGCAAATAAGTACCTTTTTTAACAGTTTAAAATAAAACAGTGCCCCGATCAGGGTCAGAGACATGGCAAAAAGGGGAGAAGAAGGCCGTCTCCATTATGCACACCCACAAGAGATGGAAAAAAGGTGAAAATACGGTACACCTGGAACAGTGTCATTTAGCACTCATTCTAGAACTAGTATTTTAGTTCCTTGTCTAGAGGCTGGAAGGAAGAGTTGACTTTTACCAGTCCAGAGAAGAAGGAACTGCACTGCAGTTCAAATATTTTACGTCAACAATCCCTGAGTAAAAAGTATAGCTAAGATGCACTCTTGACCCAAGATTTCGTTTCAGATGACATGCCAGGGCTTGTAATGACTGGCTAGTATGTTGTGCGAAGGAGTCAGTGATTTGAATGCTTGCCTGGGTGCAGTATAATTGTAATGACGTCTAAACAAAGCTGGGACTCATTTGTTCCTCCTTGTGGCCTGTAAGTGGGTAGGAAACCTTTGATTGTGTTGTTGTTAAACTAGCAGCAGCTTATGGCATTACATGCAACCCATTAGCATTTAGGATGCATTCGGCATTGGCCTTGGGTCTGAAGGAAACAGCAATATGCAAAGGTACATCGAAATGCTAATTCATAGTCCAACAATACTGGGAATAAGACCAGCAAAGGTCACATTTAAGCCTCTTATACAATGGCAAAATGATACAGATCAGTGGTCAGAAAGTGAATCCGTGTGTACCTGATGGCAAAGGGTCTTCCCAGGACAACATGTCCATTGTCTAGACCAGGAGTAAGTAAGTGGCCCCCAAACATTTTAGGATTCAGCTCCCAGCATCCCTGAAGACTAGCCATGCTGGCTAGACCTAAAGAGAAGTGTAAGATACTCAGAGGACCCTGCACTACCTACTCCTGGTGTAGGTGCTCCCTTTATTGAGTGTGATATAACCAGCAGTTCATAAAACCTCATTCTCAATAAAATCGATGCTGTCTATTTTATGACTGTGGTATAGGGAAGATAGCATTGGGGTGAGATCTTACAAGACTGAAAATTATAGCTTTCTCTGGTATCACCTAAATTCAAAGACAGTAGTTTCTGAGCATGTCTCTTCCCCCGTGAGCAAAAAGTACATTTTCATGAACAGAGAGAATGATGGGAAACAAATACTTCCCCAAAGTGCTCAGGAATGTCAGATCATAAAAAGATACCCGTTAAACATTTGTAATACAATTTCCTTGTAAAACTGTACCAAAAAAAATTAATTAAAAATGCCATTATGGATGGTTTCATGACCATCTTCTGACAAAATGCTCCTACTGTTTATTTCTACATTAACTTTTCTTGATGGGAATATTAACATTAGCTTAAAGTGCATTTCCCCCCTGCTATCAGTACAGCATATTTTCAAATTCTGCAAAGGATTAATCACAGAACTTCAAGGAAGGGTTACAGAAGTTTATTATTTTGCTTTCTGTCATGTATGTACGAATATGCCCTGTTACTGATGGCCTGTTTATCTAGTAAGTAGCCCCATACCCTGTTAAACATTTGCCAGTGTGGGAGAGTTCTTGTGCCTCGTTCCTATTATATCCATGGTAACATATATTAATGACGGATGCTTGACATATCAAGAATAGATGCCTGACAGATCGGCAAATTACCTCATCCTAGTAGGAAATTCACAGACATTTTGACAACCAAGTATTTGATGCAGACGCTTGAGGGGAAGAAACTCCAATATGACTTGTGGGAGCTGCACAAGAATCAGATGGATTACTGGCTCGTATCGTTCCAAGCAGAGTTGGGAGGAATGTGTTTTAATGTTCTTCTTTTGTGTCGATGTTTGGGTTACTTTCTAATGCATAAAAAGATAGGATATCAGGGAGAAACACCTTCTCTCAGCTTGCTCCCTGATATGCCATCCATGGGTAGGAACTACCCCTATCTCTCTCCTCCTCCTCCTCCTTAAAGAATCATTTGAATTCTCTCCCCAACTTCTGGTTTTGCTTATTTGTCCTGCTACTTCATTCTCCAGCAACTGACTTTGGGGATCTCAAATGGAGAACCCATAATCTAGGTTAGATATGGATGCTACATCAACCCCATAAATCAATTCCTTCACTTTTTTCCTCGGTGGAATAAAATCAATGTAGGAGTGGGGTATGGAAATAACCATCTTACTTTGGAATGAAATTTCTTTGCAAACACAGCAAAAGAAAGTCATCAGCATGTTTGGAATCTAAGCTCTTGCCTTCAGATCCTCTGCAAACTGACCTCACAGGTTTTAAATTCCAATATGAAGTTTCTCTGGCACATTTCTCCATGAGTATCTGTCAATGTCATAGGGTAAATAATCATAAGCATTTGAAACATTCAGAATTAGCACAAAGGAAGAATGTGATATGATGGGTGCAAACGTAGGCTGAAAGACTGAAAAGTTACTAAGTACATGAGAAGAGAAGGTATAAGAAGACATGCTCATCGGATGGATATTAGATTCCTTGTGGCTGTTTCACTGCACCTTTTGTATTCAGAATGATTGGAAATATTTTGTGACTTCTTAGGAATGGACCCAGGTCATTTTCAACTCACAGTTTTGGAGAAGACATTTAAAGTTCCACGCAGCTGCACTTACCCAAATTACATTGCCCCTTCTATTTTGATCTCCATTTTCCCATCCTCGTGAAGCTTAAGCTCAAACTGCCTTATATGCACAGAAAGATCAGCAGGCAAGGCAACCTTAAGATGTGATGAGATTAAGAAATAATTAAAACATTACTGGGAGAGTAGAGGGAAATAGCCTTGTAAGAACTCCATGGCAGAGAAAATTGCAGGAGTGCAAAGGGAAAACAACAACAATGAAAAAGGAAATGGGGGTTAGATTAGAAGGCCACCAGGGTCTCTTCCAACCCTATGATTCTATGAAACATACAGAGAAGTTGGGAGGGGTATCCGCAGAATATGGTAAAAAAAAGTCAAGATGGTCTTGATGGCCATCTTGGCCACGATGGTGAAATCAAAGCTCCGTCAGCTTTGTATTTGTGTTGTGCAAAACAAGCATTAAAAACAAGCACAGCATTGATTGTACCACTGTGGCTATTACCTTGACTTTTGACCGTAGCCTGCAGACACTCAAGTAGTTGGAGGTGGAAGTTGGAAAAAGAGGCTGAAACCCAACAATATACAAAGATGATGATAGATAGATAGATAGATAGATAGATAGATAGATAGATAGATAGATAGATAGATAGATAGATAGATAGATAGATAGATGATGGATGGACGGACAGACCAGCCATCTAACTGCCTGTATAGTCATTTCTTGGTTCACCCTCAAAAGCTGATTTAAAACTTCTCCAAAGACTGAGATGAAAGTTGCCGACAGGCATAAATCAAGAAGTCAAAAGATGGAATGCAGCTGGACTGTAGCACTTGCCCAGGTCCTAACGTTGGGGAGAGGACTCCCAACAATGTTTCAGTGCAAGAATTTTGTTTTACCTTTGCTGATGTTTCTTATTCTTGTTGATATGGTTGTAAGACTAATCAATAAAGTTGAAAGTGCAAAGTACAGTGCAAGATTATATTTTATTCTAGATATCTAACATGCAGTAAAAAGCAAGATCAGCATCCAGGGCTTCAGAGCAGGCTAGAGGAGGAAGGGCACATATACGTTTGAAGCCCACTGCCCATCTCACCCACCCTTGGCTAGAAACCCAGCTTGTCATTCTAACACCTTGATGTTTACAGAGAAGGAGCCCATAGCTTTTCTTATCCTGATTCTCCTTGACTCCATTTTCTAGTTGTGCTTCTCACTGACGCAACCAAAGTATCCCAAGAAGAAAGGAAACCTATGAGTTGTAGGGACAAAGTTTGGGGTTGATATTTACAAGGGTCTTGTAACATCTTCCTTTTAGGAATTCTAGAAAGAAATGAACTACAGGAGCTGGGAAAATGGAAAAGCAATAAAGCAATCAATGCTAATGGCGTGGATTCATTAATTATTACCTAACGTAATATTTGAAGCTTAATGCAAACATAGTCCAAAACCCCCTCCATTCGCTGGAAGGCAAACCAGCATCTTTCTTACACACTGTTAATCAGAATTATTTCTGATGAACTTTGGGGCCAGACACTGCAAAACACCCTTGTAATCGGCTGACCCCAAGAAGGAGAAGAAGGCTTTTCACCTGGGATGTTGAGAGCCTATTGATCAAATATGGGCAAATAAACATGAATGATCACGATCATCCTGCCCGTGACATCCATTTCCTTCCATTCTCATTCTAGAAAAGTCAGTGCTAAGATGGAATTAAGGTTGCAGAATAAGCGTGCGAGAGAAGAAGAGTGAGAGATGAGAGACCAATTTATTACAGTCACAGACCAGCAAAACTCATATGGATTCAAGCCGCTTGATCAATCTCTCACTCCCTTTAGCGGGCAGAAATGTTGGGCGAATAAGCAAGAGAATGCATTTCAGCCAGCTGCCATAAAGACGATTCCCACTGTCACAACTTACATACGTGAGCTGTTCTTGTTTTCTATGAATTGGAGAGAGCAGAAGAGCAGCGTGTGGCCACCCTTCCTTGTTTCATTATATTACTTTTCACACTGCTCTGCCGTTTTTTTAGACAAAAATGCTGCTTGGGGTCTTACCACCCCTGCCTGCACTGGCCAGTTCCCTCCAACACGCACAGCTGAGTCAGAAAACCCAAATCTAGAGAAAAAAAAAATCTGAGTATTGTGCACTTACTCTGGAGATGGTCAAAGGCAGGTTGAAGTCCTTCCCCCCTTGCAGGCGGAACCCCCACGGTCCGCTTCCATTGAGAGTGACACTGTAGGACATGTTCTCTCTCCTTCACGCCAGGAAGCCCCCGGGCTCTGCGAAACAGAGGGGTGGGTTACAGGTGGGTATTTCTTGTTTTCAAAAGGAGCACTCTTTTTCCCCCCTTCTTTCAGATTAAAGCACAAAATAATACTCTTTTTTGCCTCTTGCCTGATCAGTCCAGCCGAAGTGTCATCTAAGAATAGATAGCACTTATAATACAGATACTGATATCCTTGACGAAGAGGCCATACATGGTTTGTAACCAAACACCAGCTATGCAAAACCTCTGTGACTCAGAGGTCTAATATAGGCCCCTGGGAGGTTAATAGACCTTTCCAAGTGCCTCAGTTCCCCTGTTCAGGCTCAAAGCCCCTTTTCTAAGATAAAAGAACAGTTTATTTTAAGGGCAAGCTATCTGTTAAAAATAAGAGTTTAAAGCGTCTTTCATTTAAAGGACCTGTTCGTTGCCTAATCCCTCAACATGCATTGATGAGTTCTCCTTATACACGTACATCAAGCTTATTTGCACTCAGTCCAATTTTATGCAATTTGGTTTGGTGTCAGTAAGTTTTTCTTCTACGGTCTTAACTCTCTTTGGGAAAACAAAGAAATAATAGGAGAGAAAGGGGAGGAAGAAATATTCACCAGGTTAAAGCATAACTAGCTTGGATTGGTAAATTACATCACTATACCAATGTGATTAATCTGATTGATTAATATCTTCTAATTCAGTGACTTCCATATGTTTGCAAAGAGGAGGAGTTCTAGATAATCAGAGAAGGTTCCTGTCTTTTCAGAGTTAAGGCCCTGCACACCAAATGGGACCATAGAAATTTCTTTGATACTGAAAAAAATGAGTTCATTTTTTCAAATAACTTTATAGGAATACCTTTTGGTTTAATATAGGCATGCATGCACATATTTTTCTCCCAACACCCTTAACTATGCCTTAACTGTGCCAGTTGAGGTGGGGTGGGGTTATATTTAGCCTTAACAGATCCAGTTTTGCAAAGGTTAAACTAACTCCTTTGGTCAACTATATTGTGGGCACAGATGATTGTTAACAAACCCTTTCATTTCCAGAGATCAAATGACTCCATTGGGTTGGCTCTATGGTGGTTTCAGCTTTCACATACAGCTCTACCCCCAAAGACTGGGAGGGAAAAACAAGTATGAGACCCCCCCTCCCTATACAGAGAGATGAGAGGAAGGAAGGAAGGAAGGAAGGAAGGAAGGAAGGAAGGAAGGGAAGGAAGGAAGGAAGGAAGGAAGGAAGGAA